CAGTGATTACTAAAAGACGTGGTGCAACATCAAAACAAGACCTAGATATTTATTGAAGACTAAGCTATTGCTGTATGCTGTTTGGAATAGGACTATGGGTTTTTAAATTTCAGCTACTTAAGAGAACTATGGGGTTAAGGCTTTTCCCCATAGTTCTCCTTAGGGTAACGGGAGGACACAAACTAGCATCCTCCCGTCACCCTAGGCTCAGTATACCGCGAGCTGTAGCTCGCGGTATACTGAGACGCCGCAGTATACCGCAAGCTGCTGCTCGCGGTATACTGAGACGCTGCAGCGGATCCCGACAATTATGTCTGGATCCGCCCAGCTGCGTCACTGACAGCTGGCTCTGCCTATCTAGAGGCAGAGCCAGCTGTACCCGCCCCCTCCCCCGTCCTTACCGCCAGTCAGAGCTGGCGGATCGGAGCGGGGAGGGGGGAATCCAGCCCCTCCCCTGTCACGGCAGAGGGCTGTGACAGGATCGAGAGGTGAGCGAATGCCCGGTATGTGTTCGCTCACCTCCTAATCTACTAAGCCGACCTGTGACAGTCACATTGTCACAGGTCGGCTAGAACTATGAGGTGAGTGAAAAGCACTCACCTCATAGTTCTCCTTTAAAGCCAACTCCAAACTGAAAGAAAAAAATTAAAACAAAAGTACTGACCCTTATATTACATCAAAGCAGTCCAATGGTTCTTGAAAAGGAAATGCAGCCTACCAAAACCTGACAGGAACAGTACTTCCTAGTACAAACATTGCTTGGAATGCAGGAAGAGTTATAAAGAAAAAAAAACCCAAAACCATGTGCTGGCACACAAACAGCCCAGCTTCTGACAACCCCGTGATAACTGCTAATCAACAGCACTGCTGAAGGGAATGTGAGCAATCTTGTTTAAGGCCAGGTTCAGACCATTTTCCGGACCAGATCTGGAATGTGGTGCATTGCAGGGTTTTTTTTAAAGCTTAAAATGGGCTTTCAGGTGCGCTCCAGTGTGTTTGCATGTGTTTTTGATGTTTCCATGCGTTCCAGTGTATTCTAGACGAGAGAAAACAAGACTAGCAGTATTTATTTTTTTGGTCTGGTCCCGGACTGCGCCCGGGTGAACAGAGCCCAGAAATATCATAGGGATACATTGGGATGCTTTTTTTGGTCTGGGAACAAACTGTTCTGGTCTGGACATGATCCGGACATGGTGTCAGACCCCACAGGAAAACTGGGCAGCTCCTTTTGCGAGTCCTAGTTTGACTGTGCTGCAAGCAATGGGTTTCTAACGCTTGCTGCAGCACTTAGCTGATACAATAACTGAAAGACAAGTTTCTTACTGTGCAGCCTATATGCATTACAGTAATACTTTGAGGGTTTAATTGGGTTTTCAATTAAATAAATTCTAAACAACACTTACAACTAATCTTACTGAAGGCTGTATTAAATGTATTAACAGTTTGACAAAACTTTAGCACCAATTATTTAGAAGGTAGCATATTTGGTTAATTATAACTAATACAAATGTTAAAGTACAGCATACTCTCACCTTGGTATCTAACTTTTTACAACCACCTTTATTTTGGTGTCAAAAAAGTGATCATAAACTAGGACATTGTAAGCTCTATTTTTAATGCCATTGTTTCTATTCTGAATCAAGATTGTTTTCCTAATATTTTATGTTCATCTGTGCTTCTGCTGGAGGATTTCTGGAAACACCTGTCCAGATTGCTGTTCAACCTGGAGGTCAGGAGGTCTACATTCAGCATTCCCCACTTGTGGCATTCCCCACAGGTGATTCAGCAAATCAACTGCCTCGAAGGAGGACAAAATTAAGCCCTAAAACCTCATGCAAAGCCGCAAAGGTTAACAGCTCCTGGACTGTAGCGGTCGAGTCTGGGAGCGGAAAGTCATAAATCTCTTGGGGCAGAAAAACAAATGCTTGAGTTGTAACTAAAATAGGATACTCAAGTGATGTCGGTTACAGTGTTGATTTCTGAAGCTTCAAGATCCAAGAAGAGTTCCCCTTTATCATCAAGAATGAATCTTTGCAAGCCTTACTTGAAGTTAAATCCATGTTCTGGTGCACTGAACAGTACTCTGCTAAAATCTACCAAAACCAGGACTTTGTAAAGTACTTTATTTTACTGTTATCTGTCGGTTAACTTCTTTTTCTGTATATTTTTCCTGCACCTTTTTTTATTAAAAAAGATCTTAAATATTGAGAAGCTTATCTCTATGCTCTAAATAAGAACTTTAGGTATCCATGTCTCCATGGAGTGAAATATGTGATATTCCTGTCTAAGAAAGCGGTCTCATAGGCTTTAAGTTTTTAATTGTCAAAGCATTTGCTGAGAATGGTGTGTTTCCATTAAAATACGTGGTGGCAGCTACTGTTGTGTGTAAAAGGTTAACTGTGGAGCAAACCCTAGTGTCCATCACGCTGGCCTGAGAATGTTATCTCACGAGCTGGGAGAGCTGGGGAATCTGTGTGCAGGGTGAGGATGGGAGTGGTATTGCCACGTCCTTGTGGCGGTTCGGCCAGTTGGGAACTGCGTATAATCATGCATTGACAAAAATATTCAGGCCCCTTCACTTTTCAATTTTATGTTGCAGCCTGATACTGCAGTTTACATTTTTCTTTTCTCATTAATCTACACTCAGTACCCCATAATGGTGATGTGAAAACAGAATTTTAGAAATGTAGAAGTGTCTGCATTTAAAAGAAAAAATTAAATATCACATTGGCATAGGTATTCAGACCGTTTGCAACAGTTGAAATTTAGCACAGGTGACTCCCATTTCTCTTGATCGTTGGAGATGTTTCTACATCTTGATTTGAGTCCACCTGTGGTAAATTACATTGATTGGACATGATTTGGATAGGCCCCCATACACCTCTCTATAGGCGGCCTCACAGCTGACAAAGCATACTGTATCAGAACAATAGTCAGGTCAAAAAATGCCTGCAGAGCTCAGAGACAGGATTATTGCAAGGCACAGATCTGGGGAAGGCCACAAAAACATATTGTGCTTCGCTGAAGGTTCCCAAGAGCACAGTGGCCTCCATAATTCACAAATAGAAGTTTGGCACAAGTTCTTTTAAGACTGGTCGCCCGGCCAAGCTGAGCAATCGGGAGAGAAGGACATTCGTTAAGAGGTGACCAAGAACCCAATGGTCGCTCTGTCCCAACTCCACACAGGATCTCTGGAGCTCAAAGTTCTAGAAGGATAACCATCACTGCAGCCCTCCACTGATCTGGTCTTTAGGGCAGAGTGGCTAGACTGAAGCCTCTCCTCCGCGCAAAACACATGGAAGTCCGCTTGGAGTTTGCAAAAAAGCACCTGAAGGACTCACACTGAGGAACCAGATTATCTGGTCTGATGAAACCAAGATTAAACTGTAGGGCCCCAATTCTAAATGTTATGCCTGGAGGAAACCAGGCAATGCTCATCACCTGTCCAACACCATCCCAACAGTGAAGCATGGTTGTGGCAGCATCATGCTGTGAGGGTGTTTTTCAGCAGCAGGGACTGAGAGACTGGTCAGGGTTGAGGGAAAGCTGAATGGAGCAAAGTACAGAGCTGTGGCTCAATGAAAACCTTTTCCACAGTGCCCAGGACCTCCGACTGGGCCGAAGGTTTACCTCCCAACATGACAACTATCCTAAGCACACAGCAAAGACAACACAGGAGTGGCTTAGGGACACATCTGTGAATGTCTTAGGCTGGGTTCACGCCTGGCCGTTCGTAATATGAGCGTTTGATGCGCGTTTTAGGCTGTGCATTTTTACCGTGATTTGCGGTCCACGAAACGTGCATCAAACTTGCGTTTACAAAAGCTATCAGGCTGCGCGGAAATACCCCCCAAAGAAGCTCCTGTACTATTTCGGGTGCAGGGCATTTTTCAGTGCGTCAAAATGCGCTGAAATATGCCCAGGTGGGAACCATGCCCATGGCACTCAATAGGATTTCACTTGCTGAGCGTTTTTCAGCGCTTCAATCAGCGCTGAAAAACGCCCAGGTGTGAACCCAGCCAGGGCCCTGACTTTACCCTATTGAACTTCTCTAGAGACCTGAAAATGGTTGTCTGACGGTCCCCACCCAACCTGATTGAGCTTGAGAGGATTTGCAAAGAGGAATGGCAGAAAATCCCCCAATTCAGGTGTGCAAAAGTTTGTTGCGTCATACCCAAGAAGACTTGGGGCTGTAATTGCTGCCAAAGGTGCTTTAACAAAGTACTGAGTACAGGGTCTGAATACTTAAGTATATGAGTTATCTAAACAAAATTTTCACTTTGTCATTATGGGGTACGGAGTGTAGATTGAGAGAAGAAAAAGACTCTTAATAACTATCAGGCTGCAACATAACAAAATTGAAAAAAAGTAAAGGGGGTCTAAATACTTTCCAAATGCACAGTATATTAAATGCAATAATGATGGAAGGGGCACATGAGTAGGGATTTTGTTCATTTTCTTTTTTCCAAAGCCTTAGAATGCAAGGCAATCCTAGGAATGTATGGCATTTGCTAATAGAGCATTTAAATGCTGATAAAAGAACTCTGGACACTTATTAACCCTTGCAGTGCATTTCTCTCTCCCCACTGCAAGGGTTAATAAGTGTCCAGAGTTCTTTTATCAGCATTTAAATAGGACGTGATGAATCAGGGAGCTTAGACTGCTGCAGCAGAGGGGGGAAAGATGCTCTAGGAACCCGTCTAACAGCTAGCCGGCTCAAAGGATCAGGTGAGTAACTTTTTACACTATGCAAAAATGAGCACTTAGTAGCCCCACTGCAAAATTCTATAAAACTTGTGCCCATAGTTTTTAATAGTAATATATATGCCACCAGCTTAGACTTGCATCTGGCCTTCAAATTACAGGTCCCTTACAAAAAATGCAGGCAATCCAATGGAGACTAACTTGTATAGCATCACTCTTCCCTGCAAGTCACTTGTCAGGCTGTTCCCTCAAAGTAGTATAGCCAAGAAGGGACATTTTCCCCATAGCACACATACCTTCTTGCCAACGAGTTTCTTGCGCAGGAATTCCCTCGCCTCAAACATATAGGGAATGTCATATAGGGGACGGAGCTTCTTGTTCTTATCCTGAAGGAACATAAGAAGGGAATGTTCATGTGCAGTTACAACAGGAGGAGATACCAATTCTTTAGTACAACCCAACAAACATTGCCATAAGCAAAATGAACCAGCATAAACCTAGCATTCAAATGTTACTTTTGAACCATTTAACCCCTTCGTGACTGACGACGTAGAGTGTACGTCGCCAGCATCGGGGCTGTTTAAACAGACTACCGGCGGCTATTGGGAGTCAGTTTAAGCTTGTAGAGCCGACTGTCGGCTTTACAACAGAAGCAATTCTGGCGACTTACCTGTTCGCTTCTGTGTCCCGTAGAAGGGGCCGCCCCCCCCCCGGACACCGCCACCGCGCTTCCCGGGCTCGTCCTTGGTGTCCGCGGGGAGGAGATCGACAAACTTCCGTTCATCGATTGCCTCCCCGTTCTATGGGACCGGGAGTGATGCAGATTGCATCACTTCCGGTCCCTGGGATGTCAGTTCTGGGCTCCTGCAGCCCAGCTATAAGTTATTAACCCCTTCATGACTGAGGCCTTTTTTTCATTTTTTGTACCCATGTTATATTCCACATTTTAGGCCTGAAAATTACTTAAAACCCCCCAACATTATATATTTTCTGAATGCCAAGACCCTACACACCCCCCCCCCTTTCCCCAGTCAACATATGGTATGTAAATTGTAGCACAAAATGTAAGTTACACAGTGAATTAGCACATTTTAATATTCTTTACCGAACATTTAGCAGTAGCCGAAGGGGATTTCACCACCAATATTAATGCTCTATACTTTGAGTAGCTAAACATTATGTGAACTACACCAGTCTCCTACCAAATATCTGTTAGGATCGGAAGAAATGCATTGCCACAGTGCCTACACATAAGTGAATAAGATAAAGTGGCCAAGGTTTCAACAATCCATTAACTAGAGTTGTACAGTAATGCGTGCCTGTACTATGCTGTACAACTGGTGAGGCCAACAATAAGATTAACATAGGTGCTAGTATCTAGATTTCATTCAGATAAATTTAATTCATTGCAATTTCACTGAAAGTTCTCATTTATGAAACTTTCATCACTACTTAAATAAAAAAAACTAACAGCTTTAATCAGGGAAACAAATAGGCCTGCAGGACTTTTCTAATTTACAGACAATAAATAGAACAGAGTAAAAAGTTACAGCACAAAGAGCAATACAAGCTGGCTTGCAGACATTAATAGAAGACATAAGCAGCATTCACCAAAATAAAAGGCTCAATTTTCATGCAACTTAAGTGTATTCATTTCTGGAGCACTAAAACAGCAGCCAGTTTCATAAATCCTATTTCTGAGCCTGCTTCTGACAGAGCTCAAATTGACAGTTTGTTCTGGTGCCAAAACATTTAATGGAAAAAAAAAAGTTAGCTACAGCTGAAACATGTCTATTTCCTTACAAAAGGACTATGCATGAAATTTAATTAATGCTAAATAGCTTGTATTTTCACACTTTACAGAGGAATATTGGAGACGATTAATCTTTGCTATTTAAAGCAAAGATGAATAAATGTGACTAAAAGACAGACATACACTTAGAGACCTGTACTGAATAAAGGTGCCCATACACAGCACGATTATCTTACGATAATCGTACGATAATCGTACGATAATCGGATGCGATCGGTTTTTCATACGATAATCGAGCAGTGTGAACGGAGACGTGCGACCGTTTCTACTGTACGGTCGCACGTCTTCTGTCGAACCAGCATGTTCGAAAACCAGCCGGGAATCGTACGATTCTCGGCTGGTTAGAACGGTGCTCGGAAGACAAATGCCGAGCGGGCCGGTGTGCGCACGCGCACACTGCCCGTTCAGCATTGCGGTCATCGCAAGCCCGCCCCTCAGGGGGCGGGCTTGCGATGATCGAGAGTGCGATCTGCCTGTCCAAGATAGGCAGATCGTACGTTTTTTTAATCCCCGTACAACCATCATCACACTCGTTGTAGAGTGTATGGCCACCTTAATACAGAGGTTGCAACTGTGGGTCACGGGAGGAAGCTAGTATATGTCCTCCCGTGACCCTTGAGAACCATGGGGAAAATCACTTACCCCATTAGTTCTCCTTTAAGTTACGGACCTGAACAAGTATGCAATGACTAAAGTCAAACCATAAATGCGATGGTTGTAGAGTGTATGGCCACCTTAATACAGAGGTTGCAACTGTGGGTCACGGGAGGAAGCTAGTATATGTCCTCCCGTGACCCTTGAGAACCATGGGGAAAATCACTTACCCCATTAGTTCTCCTTTAAGTTACGGACCTGAACAAGTATGCAATGACTAAAGTCAAACCATAATATCAACAGACTTGTCCTGAGCCAATAAGCATCACTATAATTTAGATGTGATGGCACTGATCAGGTTGGGCTTGGTGAGGATTATAGTGGGACTGTTTGCAAGTCTGGAGACTTCAATCAAGGCTGCTTTCAAAAAGAGTTCTATTCAAATTATAATCAGCACAGAGAACACACAAACAAAATGTATTTGTTGCTTCTTTTTGACACCACATATACTGTATGTTTTCTACATGCTCTGTGTAAACAATGAAAAGCCATGTATCCTTGTGCTCTGCACCAGCTGCAGAGTTCTCAGCATAATGAGCGAAGCATACATATGCCTGCACTAAACTGCTGTACGAGTTAGCTCTGTGGGCCCTTAAAACCACTTCAGTTGCAGTCTACATCCTTTCGTTCAAGCTAATGACTCTTCAAAAACTTTCCTAGGGAAAAACGTTGAAAAAAAAATTAAATGGCATTTTCTGATAAATATGCCTTGTGGTTAAAGCAGGAATGATCAAACCTATTCCTCCAGGAATTATTTTACAATTATGGTATTTGCATAAGGGGGTGGTAAACTTGAAAGCATAGTGTTCACGAGTGCATTGCTCTGAACTCCCTAACTAAAGCTTACATTTTCATTACTTGACTAATCCATGATATTTAGAAATTACAGCATTTTCTTTATTTTGCCATCAGCCTCAAAATTCTCATTAGTACTCTAGTCAGTGTAGAATCAAATTACATTTGGTCACTATCTTGCAGCCTTTAATGAGAATTCTCTGGTGCAAAATTCTACTGCTTTCTCATGTGTAAACAAAACTGACATTAACCAAAATCACAGAACTCATGATGAACTTTACATTTTCCCGTAATTGATATCTTCTAGTAGTTAACGGATCTTGATGAGTATTTTTACTCAGCTCTGCATGGGGCCTGTATTTCATTCTGTTTGACACTCAAAATAAGTAAACACTTGGTTTGTTTAACCTCTGTGACCAATCATGCCCCTTTCAGAGGGGCAGTCTGTCAGTTTTTCAGATGCCTTTGAAAGCCCAATGTTAGCCTATGAGAAGACAGATTTAAACAGACTTGCATTGATTTAAATCTAGTTACCCCAAACTCCAGCCAGGTCAGGAAAACCAACAGAGTTCCGTTTTGGCGGACCTGATCCTGATAGGTTGGGGTATATCAAACTCTCCATAAGCCAAACATGGTCCCGTTAAGTTCAGTTTTCTACAATGGATGAAAATACTGGACACCTGGCCCAAACTGTTCGATCAGCGGAGGATCTGTCCACAGATTCCATGCTGACTGGAACTTACAGGATGTCTGTGTAAAAGAAGCCTAAAGGTGCCCATACACTACTCGATTCTCGTACGAGAATCGCAGGAAATCCCGCGATCGTACGAGAATCGAGCAGTGTGAACGAAGACGGGCGACCGTTTTTACTGTAGGGTCGCACGTCTTTTGTCGAACCAGCATGCTCGAAACCCCGCCGAGAATCGTACGATTGTCGGCGGGTTTCTAGCCTGCTCGTTCGACAGCTGCGGAACGGGCCGGTGTGCGCACACTGCCCGTTCTGCATTGCGGTCATCGGAAGCCCGCCCCTCAGCGGGGCGGGCTTTCGATGATCGCAAGTACGATCTGCCTGTCCAAGATGGGCAGATCGTACGAGCTTTTAATAAGCTTACGACCATCGCAAGACAAAAGTCTTGCGATGGTCGTAAGGTGTATGGGCACCTTAAGAGTTGGGCTCCCCAAGTCTAAGAAACTAATCAGATCCTCCAGGGACTGCCAGGCCTCAGATCGTCACCAGTGGCAATAGCTGACAAGCAGGTAGAGAAAGCACATGTAGGAAAGACTGTTGTGCATAAACATCCTGAGGTTATGGTGGTTGGCATTAAGGCAATATAATACATGAGAAGGAACACGAACAAGAGTTACTAAAAAGGAGCCACAACACATGCCAGAGGAAAAAAAAAAAACAGCAAAAAACTGGTTTGACAAAATTCTAAGGCTTCGTTCACACCATCAGCAGTGCATTCCGGTCCGATTTTGAACGCACTGTGCGTTCAAAATGCTGCAAGCACTATTTTGAACGCACCGCACAGAACGCACTGCAGGCACAATGTGCCTTGCTGTTGCCGCGCGGGAGATCGCATTTGGCCGCAGGGCGTGGCTACAGTGCCATTCACTTCAATGGCATGCCACTCCCCCTCCTGCCCAGTAAAAGAGGGAGCCGGCCGCAGTGCGGGCAAAGCGTTCCGGTCCGGAATCGGACTGGAATGCACTGCTGATGGTGTGAACGAAGCCTAAAGCTCACAAGGACCAAAAGGAAACATATTACACACCGACGCAAAGCAAGAATTTGTACATGGTTGTCAGATCAAAGCTTTTTTTTGCCGATTATGGACGTTATTTAATAGATATTGCGCGCTATTTAGGTTTCTTCAATTCACCAAAAGATTTAATGGAATCTCCACCAATTAACATCCGTTTGCAGAAGTGATATTTTATCATGCAACTCGTTTAACATCACAATCCTTATTTTAACAAACCTAATTGTTAAACATGTACAGAAGTGCAATACACACAGTTTTGGCCACTTATCGACCGTTAGACAATTGTTACATAAGCAACTCCTTCAGAGTATTGTTATAACATTTTTCTGGTGGAAATATCTGCTCAGAGAGTGAGATTTGTGAGGTGAATTGA